CATGCAATGTTTTTTGGTGTAACCATTTTGCATTATTTCTGGCACATAAATTTTTTTAGGTTGCATAGTTTTACATAGTAGCTGCATTTTAATAGAGACTAGATTGTTTTTTTATTGTGTTATTTATATGTGGTTTAGGAGATCCTTATTTTGTTAACTTTCTGTATGTAGTTGCCTTAATATGTTTATTATTTTAGGTCTCATTAACGTAGCTACTCGCGAAATATTAATGTACTATATGTGATTGTTGTCTAGCATGACTTTTCGTTTATGTTGTAACTTGTACGCAATATCATTCTAATGTAAAAGTTACGTGGAGGATATACCTTCCAATGTATTATACTATGGGATACCTTTAGTGTGACTTACTTTCACACATTGAATACCTTCTAGTGTATTTAGAGTTATGTTGTCATTCTGGTTTTTGAAAATGACTGTAGTTAAGTGGTAGTTTACTAAATATGTGGATATTTTTCAGATTATTATTTGCATCAAATTTTTTTGGTGCCAGTGCATATTCTATTTGAATGTGTTGTGTTGTATGTATCCATAGAATAAGATTACTATGAAGTTATTAATGTAAAAAAGAACAGTTTCAAGTTTTAGTATTTTCTATTTATAGGGTCGAACAATCGAACCACTGCATGCAGGTTTATGTGAACCATAACATAGTTACAGATTTAAAGGGGAATCTTAAACCAATCCAATTCAATCAATTTAAATATACAATGTTTGGAGAATATACCAAAATGCACGTGTGTGGGGTGTAACCAGCAATCTTTAGGTGGTTAATGGTATGTGAATTGACGGAAAATCCCCTAGATGAACTGTTCTTTCATATAAATCATACCACACTCTGTTTTAGTATCAAGAATTTGCCATCACTATTGGGTTAAACTGCTTTGCTGATAAATACGATTTGTTTTCTGGCACAAGCGAGCCAAAGAGATTAATCAATCAGTACTTTGAAGGTAAAAGTATTATCAGAAAGGTAGAGTTGATCAGTAAGTATAAAAAAAGGTACGGGGTGATGGGAATGATGACGATGATGTTAAATTCACAATTCTGTATTTTATCAGTATGTTCATCTATTTCCGGTGAGAAGAAGAGCTCATCGATTCTGAAGAAACCTTACCCAGATACAAGAACCAGGTTCTTTTATTTTTGTAGCAACTAAATAAAACAGATATTTTATCGTGGAAGCCTTCCTAACTCAAGGAAGGAAAAATCACATCGAAGTTTTATATTAATTCAAGATTTACAACTCAGTTAATCAATGAATCTAACTCTAAACTTCTATCCTTTTCGATTAACTACAATCGAAAATTCTCCACTCACCAAGAAGTCAAACTCGCTTCTTGTTTATAAAAACTCTTAACTATTCTTAACTCTAACCACCCAAGAAATCAAACCCACTTCTTGTTTATAATTCTCACAACCTTTCTCTTACTTTACCCCAAGAAGTCAAACTCACTTGTTGTTACAATTCTCTTAAAACTCTATCCCAAGAAGTCAAACCCACTTCCTGTTACATAATATAGGAATTATTACAACTCAATAATAAACCTAGAACAAATCAACAAAGACTAATAACCCTAGACTTTAATTGATCAAATTTCAGCATTCAATAGTTCAGAGTGGAACACAAATCCTGAACCTGGTCCTTAAGTTACTGTGACAAAGCTCTGCATTTTTTCTCCAATAACTACTTCTCTCAAGATGATTTATTTCAAGAATATGCAATAGCTATCGATCTGGCTTTGCTGGAAAAAATTCTCTCAATTTTTGTTATTGCAAAAACACTTTCCCCCTTCAACTTCTTGATCCTTTTATAGATATTGATTTTCCTTCAACCTCTACATGGAAAGAAATTTCAAATCCTTTTCCTTCTTGAATTTGTCTATATTTACTTATTTCCTTATTTGACTTGAATATTAACTTCTTTATTTCTTTCCTTATTTGACTTGAATTGCTACTTTTTTATTTCTTTCCTTCTTTGTTTCTTTACATATTTGTTTCCTTCTTTTCCTTCTTTATTTCTGCATTTTTTCTTCTTTGCCGTAATCTTTCATACTTTTATAGGTCGTCTGCAGTCACGCCTGTGAAACTGGTTAACCTAATAGAGTACACATAAGACAACAAGTAGTGAACCATGTTCACGTTATCAATCATTAAAACTACTTTATATGTTCTCCTACTTCCCAAGACAACAAGTAGTGAACCATGTTCACTTTATCAATCATCAAAACTACTTTATATGTTCTCCTACTTCCCAACAAATTCCAAGGATACAATTTGATCTTGTTGAGAGTGGCTGATACCATGAATACCCCTGGGAAAAAGATGTTTTCTCCAAATTGGTCAAAAGTATAACAAAAAAAGTGGATGCCAAGAAAAAATATTATAGAATTGATAGTATGCCTCTTGACATGCAAGTTTTGATATATGAATGTCGTTCTGCTGTTGATCCGAATATTATTGTAAAAGGCCAAATGTATCCCCAGACTAGTTAATTGGAGGACTAGAAACATCAAAGTACGTTATGAATTCCTCATTGAAGGAATGTTCAGTGATAAGGACAATCTGGTAATTTGACATATTTTTAGTATTCAATTAGCACATACATCATTGTCTTTCAATATACGTATTAATTATAACTGTTCTGTGTGCAGTTAAAATACAAAAATATTCAATCTTCATTTAAGGAGATTGCATTTTATCAGCCTCCATAAAAAATGATGCAATCCCCCGGGGAATACCTTTCAAAAATTGGTGACAAAGATGATGATTTCACTTCAAAGCCTCCAAGTCATAAGCCACATAATAAAGAAAAAGGTAAGCGCAAGGTAGATGTTTCATTGTTCACATCGATCAAAAAGTTCAATATTCATGTAGGTTCGAGTTGTGAGGAGAAAAGTGCACCTTATTGCATGGTTACTCTAAGGCAAATAGTACACCATTTAGTTGTGTTTAAACCCCTGTGGAGAACAATATACCAATACGGGAATTGCATAATCTGCCCAACGATTTTGACAACACTACACCACCAAGGAGTTTGAAACAACCTCAAAATACCAAGGCAAGTGAAATTGATATGCTGAGACAAGATCTCTTTCAAGGATTCTGTAAGCAAGTTGTTACATTTGTTTTTAGTTTACATTGTATTCCGATATATTCTTACACTTTATTTAATAATCAGGTTACTAATGAATTCAAGAAATTGTGCTTGTTTATACTGAAAAATTTAAACAAGTCATGGATGCAATCAACAAAAGCAGTGCTCAATCTGGAGCACCATGTCAGGTTAAGTACAACAATGCTAAATTACGAAATACATTCTCATATACATGTTAACATATGTTATAAAACTCAATTATTTTTTGTATAACATAAACGGGAAGATGGAAGTAAATATCCAGCGCATGTGCCTGATTGGTCAAACAAACATTCGATGAAAGACGACAATCAAATCTCAACATTCCTGGATAACCTTACTTTGATATAAATTAGGTACTGCGTGAATTAACTTGTTTTTCTTATTTATAAGTGGATGGTCAAAAATGTTTAAGAATAGATATATCATCAAAAAGTTAACAGGTTGAACTTTGAATACTTATGGTTTATTCAATGAACTTATAAGTTGTATTTACTTATTTCTAATTTTTGTAGAAATATTTATATACTAGATATTTACTGATAATAGAATACCTTCCAGTAGAAACAATATATATGATATGTTGTAAGTGTACCTACTGGTAATAGAATGTATTATAATACTATAAATATGTATATAACTTTGGTAGAATTATGATGGTAGGATACATATTAGATAATATTAATTAGTGTAATTATTAATTTTTCTACTCATATAAAATTATTTATGCGCGACATTCTGAATAATATATGTTATTTTTTCCATTTCATTTTAGACTAGAGACACTAATGCCTTACAGAACGATGAAATGAATAACCACAGTCACAATTTGAGTTGCTCGATGTTTTGTTACCTAGCCTTGACACAATTAATCCCAAAAAAATGTGTTGTGATTCATCAAGAGGTTATGATTCACCCAGAGGGTGTTGTTTATTATACAAAACTTGTGCATGTTCAAAGGACCAGACATCCTGATCGATGGAATTCTTCTCTATACTCGACAAATTTTGGATCATCATCTGGTATTTAATAATTTTTTTCTCATGAATATCTTCCCTTCTCCCCTCCCCCGTTATTTTTTTTTTAAAAAAAATAACACGATTAACATGCAAAATTGATGAGGAAAATAGTTGAGGATATATTTGTTACAATTTGCGTGTCTGTATATATAAAATTTCAGGCAGCTCTTCTAATATAGTAAAAATTTATGAAAAAAACATCTTTTTGTTTCTGAATTCATATGAGGGCCATATAATTATGATCTTTTTGACAATTATGCAATGTGACTTCGTGAAGGGATCCTTGTTAGGCATATAAATAAGTTAATATTTTTATTTCATACGATTATCATTTGTTCACATAATATACTTCAATTTTAATTCAATTTGTTATCTAAAGGATGCATGGTGAAGGTAGGTATAAGAATAAATAAGCAGAATTGGCGGTTGATATGGATTTGGATATACATATGATATCGAACAAGATTGATTCTACTCTATGTCTTATGATAAACAACTTTTGAATGATGAGGTAAAAATGTCAATATAAAAGTAAAAGGTATTGTTTCTGTTTATAAGATGTGCACATATACATTTCTTAATTTTTTTGACAGCATATTGATGTGGTTCTATAATATTTGCAACAAATAATTACAACATCAATAGTCGCTATAGACACACTACTATTGACTGTCTGTTCAAGTCAAAAATTGCTGAAATTTATGTCGCATATGCTCAAATTGGAAGTGAAATATGTGTTGCAAATGTTGAAAGTGACATACGTGATTACATAATTGAGTAGTATAAGTTGATGGCTAGCATTCCAAGGAATACAATCAATAATGTGTTCATACCAGTGAATGTGGAGCAGAAGAATCACTTGGTGTTGGCTGTTCTGTCAATACCTGAATGACACGTTTATGTATATGACTCATACAGAGCAGCAAGTCATAACTCTTATGTTAGGGATGAAATTCAAAAGCTTTCTCAGCTTCTGTCAATGTATGTGTCAATAGAGGTTGTCAATAATTCAGATGATATACAAGATCAACACATTGCATACGGTATGACATATGTGGAGGATATACCTCAATAGGGATTAGATAACTTGTAAGTATAAAAAAATAGTATCTTAATTTACTTTTTTTTATAAAAAGTATCCTATTTAATAAGTAATATATCTTTCAAGGATTGTGGGGATATATTCTTTAGCATTTGCCGAGTACCTAAGTGAGAGTGAAAATATTCCAGTTGTATTTCCTTGATTCTAAGTAACATCGCATGAAATACGGTGCACTATTGTGAAAATATGCAGCGAAGAAGATGGAAGAAGGAGTTGTTAGCGAGAATGAGGCACCACCCAAAATGACGAAGCCACCTGCAAGAATCGATAATAGTCAACTTGTTAGGATTGATTAGTATCTTGTACTAGTTATCTTTTTTGAACTTCTATTTTATGCTTATAGTTAAAACTAATATTTTAGTTATTTGTCAAACATTATTAACTCTTCTATGTATATATGATCATTTTGATTTTTTTTTGGTTATTGCATTCAATGTAACAATAGAAAGAGAATGATGTATGTTTTTATAAATATCCGGTCCATCTGAGCACATACATTTAGATATCTACCTTTATTCAGTTGTGTTTATTTTTATCAACATATTCAATAGTATAAAAGCATATTAGAGTCTTTTTCATACCAACATATACGCAAGTATTACTTATTGCATTTATTTATTTTCATTTCTTACTTAAGAACATTTGGATATTACATTCTTAAAACTGATAAACATTCAGGAAGTGTTGATAATAACTATAATAATATGCGTTTTTAAAGTGATTTTTATTATACACTAAAGTAATATATAAGTGTATGCAAAACAAATTATCCTTTTATAATTTATAGGTTGTGTGTTCTTAATCAAATATTTAAGTAGTATAATTATTTTATATATGTACTCACCAACTGATACACTCAAACTTACCTCTCAAATAAGAAGTATAGTGGTCGTATCAAGTAAAGAACCCAACTAATGAGGTTCGGATCGTTCCCACGAGGAAAATAGTTCAGACTTAACTTCAATCTATTATTACTATTATTTAGTCAATTATTTCCTAAGAAGAACCACCCACTAAAGTATCCAGCACCGCTTTATTGTTATCTTCCTATCCCCAATAGAAGTATTTCTTCAGTGACTCATCATCTTCAGTGACTCATCATCTATCCTCAATAGAAGTATTCCTATCCCCAAGAACTACTAACTGACTCTCGTGGTAGTGCCACAAAGTTGTTCACTCTGTATTTGTGGTTTAGTTTCATGGAGACCGGGTAGTAGCGTGCTAAGAAAACGTCCCTTAGCTGGTTCTAAGTGAAAATTGAGTTATAAGGGAGCTCAGTAAACCATATAGCAGCCTCTCCCGTCAGTAAGAGAGGGAATACTCTTAGCCCTATTACATCCAAATTCAAATCAGGCCTCCCTACACAACTTTTACACACTGCCCTTACCTTAGCTATATGGGCATATGGATCCTCAGAAGGTAGCCCTGAAAACAAACCTCTGGCAGTGAGCATTTTCATCTGGCTACTAGTTACCACAAAGTTGTGGCCTGGTGGTAGAGGGGGTAAGACAAGTGGCACATCGGAGTCTGCTACATTGTCATACCCTCTGTAGTATTGTTGAGGACGTGGAGCGGGATTTTGTCCCCTATGTTGATTTTCACCCGGAGTATCGGGTAATAACTAACCATGAACATCAACCGGAGCTGGGATGTTCTAGTTTGGATCATCATCATTAATACCCAAGTTTCGATTCATGTTGCGTAGTGTACGCTCTAATTTGTAATCGTAGGGAAACAAAGGTTCTCTTCCTCTCCGTGTATTTGACATACAAGAAAGATAAGTTTTGCAAGAATAAAAAACAATAAACAATGTAAAATTAAGAAAATATCGACAAAACTATAGTAATATGTTTAAGTTAATCTAAAAGCTAGTTTCATCGAAAGCGGCGCCAAAATTTGATATGCTCAAACTTACCTCTCAAATAAGAAGTAAAGTGGTCGTATCAAGTAAAGAACCCAACTAATGAGGTTGGGATCGTTCCCACGAGAAAAATAGTTCAGACTTAACTTCAATCTATTATTAGTATTATTTAGTCAATTATTTCCTTAGAAAACAAAAGACAATAAAAGCGGGGGTTTTATTTCTAAATTACTAAAGATAACTAACTAAATTAAAGTAACTAACTAACAGAATCAAACCTTGGATTTTAATCATTTAATAATAGTAACTAGGGTTTAAGTGTTCCCCACAGGTTCCTAACTTGATAATTCTAACTATAACCATTCTTTCCAGTATCTTGCATGCAAAGTAATAAGTTATGTATTTCTAAATCCTTGGTTTGACATCTAGAAAATTTCACTCCGCACCTTGGTACGGCTACGTGTGTTGCTATACTAACCCTTACCTTTACCTCATATTAAGAATTGTATTCGATATTTGATTGAGTTATTACCTCGTACCAATCAATACTAGCCTATTAGATAGTATCTACTAAATCTATGTTGATAATTCTTTTCCTATTATCTACCTCCTTGGTCCGGCAAGTAGCATTAAGACGAGTTCTAACGTTGGCCATCCGTTAAAAAGATTTCTAAACGAAAGAATTATCAATACATGCAAGATACTATTCTAGGATTGTTTTTTAGTTAGATTTTACCTTATTATTCATCCATGGTTCCCATAGTCATAATCACAATATTCATATATGTAATATAAGAATTCATGCACCTACTTCAATAAGGAAAATAAAATCCAGAAGTTCACTTGATTAATAAAAAAATGCACCAACAATCAATTCCAGAAAAAGTGTCTCAATTACTGAAATTAATCGAGGACTAAAGATTCTTCAAAAGTATAACACAATCACAAAGTCTACTAACAAAGAGTATAACATAAGAGAATCTAACTATATGAGAGTCTAACCCCAAAAATGAGGTTTTTCGAACTATTTGTAAAGAACAAAAACTTAATAAAAGAATGACTCTATTTGCTGAAAATCTGTCAAAATGCGGCTGGATCGACGGACCTCGTGACGGGTCGTCATGATCATGACAGGTTGTCATGGCCTCCTTCATCCTATACATTACAGATCCTTCTGTTGCTTTCTTCATTACCCTTGACAAACAGGTATGACAGACCGTCACAGGCACGACGGTCCGTTGAGGTCTCCGTTCCATAACACTTAAACTCTTGGAATTTGGGTACTAGTACTACTTCTCTTATCATCATGACGAACCAGCAGGACGGACCGTCACGGCTATGACGGTCCGTCATGAACTTCGTAATCCCACACTTAGGTCAGAATTCCCCATCTTCCTTCAGCAGCTTCACTAGGGTGCCACCTACGGGCCGTCACAAGCTCGACGGACCGTCACAAGCTCCATAAGTTTTTTCTGCATTTCTTGCTCAAAAACTTCAGCGTTAATCTTTAGACAGATTTCCGGCAAATAAGAAAAAACTTACATAAAAAATCAATACAAAAAGGCTTTTGGACACACGCTAAATTTAAGGAAAAAACATTAAAAATACCGTGAAACCACGGTATATCACCAACAAATTATCAAGTATAACTATGGTCATGTATTATCAGTAGTTTGTGTGTGTCAATAAATGTTAATAGTATCAACTTGATATTTTGGTAATTATTGATTGAGAAGTATGTATCATGTTAAATATTGAGATAATATTCAAATTAATTTATAATTTAAGCAAATAAAAAAAGAGAAAATAATACTTCAGAAGGCAAATAAGTCATATATTCGACATAACAAAAGTTAACTAAAAGAACACTTCGATAGTTGGATGTATCAGTTCCTATGCATTCCTTGTTGTCGTTCAACATGAACGTATATTATGACCATGATATCCACATACACTACAAGAATTGGTACCCTTCCTTTTGCTCAACTCGCTAAATGACTTCTCTCGCTGCTTCTTTGGCCTTTCTGGAGGTCGGTTGAATTTTGGTCGTAATACAACTTCGGTAGCAATCTGTTCAGATATATTCCATTCATTTTTGTTTGATAGAGGATACACAAGCACTTTATATGTTTTGAATATTGTTTTTGGCTTGTAAAAGTCTAAACAATATTCATCTAGAAGCATGTGTTTTTGTTCAACACCCTCCATGCATGTGCGCATGTGTCACGACCCAAAACTGAGCCGCGACTGGCACCCACATTTACCCTCCTATGTGAGCGAACCAACCAATCTAACCCTTAAGATTGCAATATAATGTCGCCAGAAAGTAATACGGAAGACTTAAACTCATAAAGTAAAATCAATAATCAACTTCTATAACTCAAAACTTATCATTATCCACAAAATCTGGAAGTCATCATCACAAGAACATCTACCTCAAATTACTAAATCTAAGAATTTCTAAGAAGCTAAAATACATAAAAAGCTAGTCCATGCCGGAACTTCAAGGCATCAAGACATGAAGAGGAAGATCCAGTCCAAGCTAGAAGCATTAGCTCACCCTGATATCCGGAGTAATGTAGACTGGCTAGAGTTGCTGTTGAGTTGAAGACGACGGCACGTTTGCTGCACTCCACAAATAACAAAAGGAAAACACAAAAGTAGGGGGGTCAGTACAAACACGGTACTGAGTAGATATCATCGGCCAACTCAAAATAGAAAACAGTATATATCAAGTAATATCATAAAATCAACTATGATACTCAACATGTAGCAACAACAGCACTATAATCATTAACAAGTACCGCCAAGTTCACACACGAGGACGCAAGCCTCAATTACCATACTCATTTGGGGATTAAATTCATTAGATTGAGTATATTAACATATTTCAAGATTCATTATCTTTATTCCCCTCGTGT